CGGGGCATGGAGTCCTCTCCCGTGGGTCTCCAGCTCAGGGGCCCGGCCCGGCCAGCGGGCTGCTGCCTGCAGCTCCGTCCCGGTCCCTGGCTCTAGGCAGACCGCGCCCGGCCTGCCTCCGGTTCGAGGCCCCTCCCAGCCCAGAAGCGCCTGGGCCCTGCCCTCTGCAGAGAAGGCACCGCGGGGCCTGGCACGCGAGGTCTCCGGCCTGTGGCCATCCCGCATTTTCCCTCTCACCCTTGGATCGCTGGCCTGGGCCCTAGTGTCTGGCTCACCTCTGGGTCTCTGGGGCCCATGGCAGGGTCACAGCTGCCGTCCCCTCCATCCTGTCTGCTCTCAGACCCTGACTACAAGCTAGAACCTGGCCCCTAACGTCACCTAAGCAAGCAGAAAATGCTAGGACAGGAACAGCCGCTTCTGAGACGCTAGGCAGTTTTAGGTTTGGTTTTGTGTTTTTCTTTATCTTCTAAACTGTCTCCCACGCACTGTGGTTTGCCAGTCAGAGCGAGAAGGCACTTTCAGCATCAGGTCACACAGGGCCGCTGCCCAGGTGGCCTCAGCCCTCTCCTGGTCCCACCGCTCTCGGTGCCCTTCCCATTGGTGTTGGGACCAGGAGCGGGGTCACCATCCACCACCGGTGTTCAGCGTGACCATGAGAGCAAGCTCGGGCCTCCTGAAGTCCTGTGCCTGGTGCCTGGCTGGATTCCCCGCCGTCCTGCCTCTTGGTATAGCAGCCATGCTTTGCAGAGGGTGAACAGACTGGGGTCTGTGGGGTGTCCTGCCCCACCCTAGCTATGGGGGGCAGTTGCCGGTCCCCACTCCTGGCTTTGGGGAGCGAGGTGTCCCCCACACCTCATTGTAAAGGCAGGGGGGTCAGGACAAGGCCCACCAGGCAGCCTCAAGGACAGAGCTGCCACTTGGGGAGCCTGGAGTGCAGTGTGTGGTTCTAAGAAAACCTGGCATGGCACGGGGCAAGGGCTGGCGGAGCAGTCCTGTCTCCTTAGTTGCTGGACTTTCCCTGAGGAAAGGGCAGCCAGCAGCACCAACCCCAGGGCAGCTCCCTGCTAAGGACAGGGCAGTGGGGTGTGCAAGGCTCTCCTCCCTCCAGGCAGCACTGCCCCACAGCGCTCCGTCCTCTCTCCAGGACACACCCCTGCTCTGCCCTCAGAGCATGGCCGGGCCAGCACTTGGGGCATGCTGCCTTCTTCTCCCTTGGCACTTGGGCAGGGGACCCCAGTAAAGGGTGTTTCTGGCTGGGTTTGGATCTACCTGGGATCCCGGGCTAGCGTTGTCCCAGCGCCCCGCACACTGCCTACAGTGGTGCTCTCCAGGGGTGGTGGAGGGGTGGGCCTGTGTGAGGTCCTGCTCAGTGGAATCCAAGTCCCGGCCCGTCTCAGGGGTGGGCTCTGGCCTGGCCTTTCAGTCTCCACCCAGGAGTGGCTGTGCCCACCTCCGCCAGGGAGCCCAGGCCTGTGTGGGTTTCAGCGAGGCCTGGCCTACTGGGGTTAACACAGACACCACTGCTGCCGGGCATTGCGTTTCATTCGAAGGAAAAAAGGCAGCTCCACAGGCAAAAGAGAGAGAAAAGTGTTGGGTTTTTCTTTTTTTCAGGTGCTAAAAATATGATCAGGAAATACTTTTCAGCAACGCTGTTTTAGGCTCCTCTCTGGACTCAAGGGCGCCTTTGTCTCTGCCACAGAAAATTCACATTTATCAAAACCCAGATCGTTTTTATCAAGCAGGCTCCTGCTCTGCGGCAGGAAACCTGAGCTGCCCACCAGGCCTGTGACACTTTAATTTGGGGCCCAGGCCCTTTAAAACCATGTGCAGTTTGGGGGGAGTCCCAGAGCCACGGCAGAACTCCTGGAATAGGGGGCCTTGAAGGTCAAGTTGGGGAGTTCTCTCCCCTCCTTGTGCCTGGCAGAGAGCAGGGACTGGGCATGGCTGGTGGTCCCACAGGGCTAAAGCCCACCCCCTCTTTTGTCTCCTTTCTTCCTAGAGGGGCTGGCAGAGGGCAGATCCCCAGCAGCGGTTCCCAGCATAAGAGCACAGGGAGAAGCTCTGATCCCTGGCAAATCTCTGCCAGTTCCAGGACGAGGCTGGTGAGATCCCCGGGCACCTGGCGGGCAGGACCCCACTTCTATGCCCAGGCACTGCCTGACAGGCTGGATGAGGCCTTGGTGCCACAGGCCGGCTGAGGCAGAAGATGGAGTGAGCCTGTCCACTCAGCACCCAAGGTGGGACTTGTGCTCTTGGGGAAATGCCCGGAGGGGCCTGACTTTACTTCCCAAGGTGACTCCAGGTTCATTGTACTTTATTTAGAGATGCAGAGGTACTGGTCAGAGAGGCTCAGGCTGGGCTTCTGTCCCGGGGGGGGGGGGAAGACAGCCCCTCCAGAGCCAGCCTGGTCCATCTCCCCGAGCCCCATGGTTTGTTCTCCCTGCCCGCTGGAAGACACAGCAAGGCAGACTGACCCTTGGAGGACTCGGCTATGTGAGGAGCCACACTTAGGGGTCTGGGACAGCCTGGCATGTGCGTGTGTGACTCCAGCATCTGAAAGGTGCCTTGGGAGAAGGCACCCTGTCTCCTGCAGGGCCTGGACGTCTGCCACAGACATCCAGAGCGCTCATTCAGGTTGCATAGCAGGGACTCCTGACAGCCTCAAATGGACTCTGGGGCTTGCTGAGCCTTTTAGAAGCCAGAGCTTGCCAGATGTGGGGAAGCCCAGGGAGGGAGCTGCGGGCCTCCTTCTGAGTGGTAGGAGCAGGGCTGGGCCTTGCCAGCTGGGAGGCCTTCTCAGCCTTTCCCCTGGGACTCTGGGGGGGGGGCGGGGAGAGGCCAGGGCAGGCGGCCAGCTCTGCCTGCATGGCCTTGCCTCCGCAGAGGGCGCTCTTGGTCCCTCAAACCTGCAGGGCTGTCTCTGATACCTGCTGGGCAGAGGGTAGGTGGCAGGGCCTGGTGGGACCGTCCGTGGCTTGGGCCATGGAGTCCCAGGGCCATGAGGCCTGGGTCCAAGCAGACCAGACACCACAGGGCTGTTGTCAGGCCCTCCCAGCCCTGGCACCAAAGCCCTCTGGAAGGGTTTAGGAAAATGCCACTTTATTTCCATCAGAAAAAATCTCTCTCTCACACACACAGAAGTATGTATATGCTCTTCTGTTGAACAAGTAAAAACAGTATCTCCTACACTGATTTGATTACTCCTTAAAATACAAAAATATTAGAGCCCCCCGTATGTCAATACCTGTGTGGGCAGCCAGGTAACGAGGGCCCTAAGAGGCCAGAGGGCAAATCGTCAGGTTGGGGGGGTTTCGTTTCCACGCTGAGAGATACCCAGTCTTCAGAACGGAAATGCGCCCTTGGCCGCCACGGCCCCGCCCCTCCGAGGCCTGATGCGGAAGGCCACGCCCCAGATTCCTGGATGCGGAGGCTCTGCCCCCACCAGTGGAAGACCACGCCCATCTGGGTCCCAAGGCCCCGCCCCTCCGAGGCCTGGATGTGGAAGGCCACACCCTTGTGGGTGCAAAGGCCACGCCCCTGGATGCCGGGGCCCTGCCCCTAACTGTGGAAGGCCACGCCCATCTATCTGCCAAGGCGCCTCCCCTCTAAGGCCTGGATGTGGAGGGCCACGCCCCTGTGGGTGCGAAGGCCACGCCCCCTGGATGTGGAGGCTCCCCTCCCGGGGTGCAGGGTAGGTGTGGGGGGTCCAGAGGTGCGGGTGCGGTGCTGGCCTTGCAGGACATTCTGTGTTTTGGCCTGGGTTGGTGGAAATGTTTTCCACGTGCCGAGCAAGGGCAGGGAATGCAGTCCTGAGCTGGGAGCCGATCTGGGCGGGGCCGAGCCCAGCTGGGGGTGGTCTCCGGCTCCCCGGGGGGTGGGGGCGTGGTCTCTGGCCCCAGGTGGGCGTGGCCTCCGGCTCCCCGCGGGGTGGGGGCGTGGCCTCCGGCTCCCGCTGTGAGCAGGCTTGGGGGGGCTCTGCAGGAGCCGGGGTTCTCCCGGAGTGGGGGGGAGCAGAGAGCCCCTCCTGCGCTGCAGGACTCAGCGGCTGGGCCCCTCTGGGGCCGCTGCCCCGGCTGGTCAGGGCTTCAGGTGGCCAGGCAGTCCTGGTGGGCTTCACTGTGCGGCCCCAGCCCCGAAGGCCAGGCCTAGACAGGTCTGTTGCCGGGCTTCACCTCCTGGCCCAGCTGCTCCTTCAGGCTGGTGACCTGGACGGGGCAGGGTTGCGTCAGGTGAGGGCCAGGGGACCGGGCAGAGGGGTGGAGAGGCCACGGCTGGAGGGGAGGAGGAGAGTGGCCGCAGGTGGACGGTCAGAGGTGTGTGTTTGTGTCCGCCATCCACACCCAGCCTGGGAACAGAGAAGTCTGCCCATCGAGGAAAGCCCGGCGTAAGGGTCAGCACACTGCTGTGGACCCAGCCACTCAGGAGGCTGAGATCTGGATGTGGAGGCTCCACCCCTCTGTGTACAGGGTGCCCTGCCAAAGCCCAGGAGACTTATCTCTAGCTCATCAGTACAAAAGCTGGAAGTGGAGATGTGGCTCAGGTGGTAGAGCACCAGCCTTGGCGAACGTGAGGCCCCACTAGCAGCACACACACAAATGCTAGTGTTCCTTTGCTTATCCACGGAGTGTGTGTGTCTGACGGTCCAGAGACGTTAACGTGGGTCAGACGCCGGCAGTTATGTCATCTTTCTGCCCCTCAGCTTCCTTGCTTGTGAGGCAAAGGCTATGTATGACTAGGTGGTTCTAGCATAGGTTAGAGTGCCAGGAGCCGGAGGCCTCCAAGCAGAGGCCACGTGGCCACCCTAAAGGTCAAGGGAGCCCCCCTCATGCTGCCCCCCAGTGGGGTAGGGTCCTGGCCTTACCTGCTCCTCCAGCACCTTCACCGGCTGCTGGTGGGCCTGCTCCTGGGTCTCCAGGGTCTGTGCGGCCTGCTCTGCCCCCTGCTTCCTCTTGGCTTGCGCAGCCCGGTCCTGCTGGTGCTGGGCAGATGGCTCCGGCTCTGCCCTCTGGGCCTGGGGTGAGGTGGCAGGCTCCTCACTCCCCTCTGCTCCCCCAAGGGCTCCCAGAAGCCCGAAGGCTCGTGGGTGTCCTACCTGCCGCTGCCCCAGAGTTGAACCCTTGCTCTCTGCCCGGCATTAACCCCGGCCCAGGCCATGCAGGAGACCTGGGCTCAGTGCCCATACAGCCCACAAGTCTTGAGTTCAAGCTGCCAGGTCTGGGATTGGGTAGACGAAGCCACAGCCCTTCAGGTGGGCCCTAGCTGTGTTTGTGTGGTGCCTGCATTTCCCCACGGTCGGGCCACGCGTCCTGAGGGCATTGCCGATTGGCTCTTGCCCATCCCCTCACAAGTTCTTGGCCTGATGGGGGGTGTGCAGTGGTGGAAGTGGGGACCACAGGTGAGCGGGGGTGGGGGGGAGGCTGGGCCTGGGGCTGGGCTGTCTTCTGTCCCTGGTGCTGCTCTGCAGAGCAGGCCTGGCTGGCAGAGGCCCCGACCACTCTCAAAGACACTTGAGAGCCTCCAGGGGCAGGCCCCGACAGACACAGGTAACACCCGGGAGCCCTGGAGTAGCCCGGGTCCCAGCTCCAGCTCTGCCGTGACCCTCGCGTAACCTGTGGCTCGGTGTGTTGTCCGGGTCTAGTGGCTGCATCTCTTGTGTGCACCGGGGATCGGGCTGCCTTCCCATGTGTGCATGTATGTGGCATGTGCAGACGTGCACGGAGCAGCAGCGGCTCACCCTGGGCTCTCCCCTGGGGCTGTGGGCAGGGCCCCGCTTACTCCGCTTACCTGCAGCTGCCGGCTCTGCCACAGGGTTCCTGCCGGCTCCCAGTGCAGGCTGTCTGGGGGCTGCTCCAGCTTCTGGGCCCCCAGCATGGCCCTGGCCCCCTCCGTCTTCAGCTTCCCCTCCATCTGCAGGGGAGAGGTGAGGGACACAGAACTTTAGAACTTTTGGTGGGACATGGTGGCCTCCGGGCAGGGGTCCGGGCAGCATTCCTTTCCTCTGGGTAGCAGGGGTGTCCCCGAGGGGGGCCTTGTCCCCCGGGAGCTGCTCGGCCCCTGCGTGGGGCACTGACAGCCAAAGAGGAGCCTCGTGATCAGGGCTCAGCCCCTCTGCCACTCTGCCAGCCGCCGCCGCCGCAGGAGATGCATGGCCTCTCCCACAGGGAGAGCCAGCCCCTGCCCGGGCTCCGCAGGGCCGTTCGGAGCACACTCGGCCCACAGCCCTCACACACTCTCCGGGCCGAGTGCTCCCGGATGCAGCCCCCAGGAGCCTGCGCTCCTGCCCTCTCCTGGGGCAAAGCCCTCAGTCACCCACTCTACCATGATGGGCGCGGGGCTGAGGAGTGGGAACCAGCGGGACCATCTTCTGCATGAAGGGAGGAATGCACCCTGCTGGGAGCAGCAGCTGCAGAGTGCCCGCCCCCCCCCCCAGTCCAGGGGGCCTGGGGCAGCCTGTGGAGGACAGGATCCCAGAAGGATCCTGGAGGCCCAGCCTGGCAGGCCTGGGGCACTGAGGCTGGGCTGGAGCCAGTCTCCCTCTGTGCCCACCAGGAGGCCCATGTGGGCCACCCCCCGCAGTGCTGGCAGGCTTGCTCTGCCTCTCGGAGGTGGGGGCTGGAGGCTGGCCTTTCAGGGCCGGGGGACATGGTGGTCTGTCTCCATGGGCAAAGTTACGAGGTCAGGGCTTGAGTTTTACAAAAATAAGGATTCCTTTCTTCTTCAGGACTGAGGAAAACAAAGGAGTCTCCTTCCACTGGAAAAGGAGTCCTGTTTCTTTAAAACTCCAGTTACCCTCCTGGAAGCGCAGTTACAAGGAGAAAAGTGAAATCCAAAATAAATAAATGTCCACGTCCGGGTTTCCCCTCCTGGGACTCCCATAAAGTGTTTATGGGCGCGTGGGCCCCTCGCAGCTGACCTCCTGGAACTCATTAGCTGTTCCTGCTCCCCCACCCAGGCCCTGAGGAGCGGTGCGGGCCCAGGGCCCGCACCTTGGCCACAGCCCTGCCCTACAGCATGAGGGGCCTGGCGCTGGGCACCGGGATCCTGGTGTCTGCACCCCCAGGCTGCCCTTCCTTCGTGGACAGGCTGGCCGGAGGCTTTCCTGCCTGTTCTGGCTTTTGGCCTCTGCCCCCCCCCCCCGGGCTGGCTGCGCTCTGGGCTCTGGGCGTGGGGAGGCGTGGGGAGGGTTCCCCCTCTGGCCCAGGCCAGCGGCCCTCGCCATCCCCAGGCTCCAGCCCTACGGACTTTCCCGAGGGGTGCCGAGCCCTGCAGGGTCAGGTGGCTGGCTGCCAGTGCTGCCCAGCCTACCCCTCCCCCACCATGTGCCACCCAGCTTCTCGTGGTCTTCTCTAGAGTTTTGTCCAGCTCAGCCCCCCGCCCCGGCCATGCGGTGGCCACGTCTGCCCCTGGGTGTGCATGCACGCTGTGTACGCTCCTGCCTCTCGCCGTGGCACAGTGGCAGAAGGACAAGAAACAGCCACAGGCAGGCCCTGCCCGCCCTGACCTCTGCTGAGGGGCCAGCCGGGTGCTGACCTCGGCCCTGGGCAGCAGAAACGTTTCCTGGTGTGGCCTGTGTGTCTGAGCTCACCCCTGGGTGCCACCCACTGCCATATTTACTGTGGTTTCTGCTGGAGTGGCCGGAGGACAGGGCAGAGCCACAGGACCAGGAGGGGACGAAGGTCACCTTGGGGATGATGCAGCCTCCTGGTGAGGCCCGACAGGGACCGACGCTGTCCACCAGGAGTGACCCTGCAGAGGCCCCTTCCCCGTGCCCCCTTCCCACAGTGCCCCCTCCCACAGTGCCCCCTTCCCACAGTGCCCCCTTCCCACAGTGCCCCCTTCCCCGTGCCCCCTTCCCCGTGCCCCCTCCCACAGTGCCCCCTCCCACAGTGCCCCCTCCCACAGTGCCCCCTTCCCCGTGCCCCCTCCCAGTGCCCCCTCCCACAGTGCCCCCTTCCCACAGTGCCCCCTTCCCCGTGCCCCCTTCCCTGTGCCCCCTTCCCCGTGCCCCCTTCCCCGTGCCCCCTTCCCCGTGCCCCCTCCCACAGTGCCCCCTCCCACAGTGCCCCCTTCCCCGTGCCCCCTCCCAGTGCCCCCTTCCCACAGTGTCCCCTTCCCACAGTGTCCCCTTCCCCGTGCCCTCCCGCAGCACCCTACCTTCCCAGTGCCCCCTTCCCAGTGCCCCCTTCCCAGTGCCCCCTTCCCAGTGCCCTCCCGCAGCACCCTACCTTCCCAGCGCCCTCCCCCAGCCCTGTACCTGAGTGAGGTGGGCCTGCAGTGCCACCAGCTCCCCCTGCAGCCGGGCCCGCTCCATGTGCAGGGCTGTGGTTTGCTCGCGCAGGGCACACCTTTCTGTCCTCTGCCTCCCAGCCACCACCTCCTGGCTGCGCTGCTTCCGCCGCAGGGCCTGGGCAGGCCGGGCAGGGTGTGGGCCCAGGATGGGGGCCCTGTCTACCCACGGGCCCCGTGTCTACCCATGGGGACACCATGCTATCAGAGGCTGGGCTTGGGCTCAGTCTGTTTTGTTTTCTTTTAAGCTGAGAGTCTACGGATGAAGCCTCTGCCACAGGAGCTTTCTGTGAGCCCTCAGCTCCGTGTGGCCCTCCCTCAGCCTCGGTTTCCTTTTCGGGGAGCTGGGAACTGGGACTGTTTGGGTTGTTGTGGGTCTCATGCCTGCCCCCAGCACCTGCCAAGGAAATGACTAGGTCACAGCCCGCACCAGAGGCTCACACCTGCTATCCTGCCACTCAGGAGGCTGAGACCTGAGGATCTGTGGCTTGAAGGTCCAGATGGGAGCATTCGTGAATCTCTTATCTTCAATTAATGACCAAAAGTCCAGAAGTGGAGCTGTGGCTCAAGTGGTAAAGCACCAGCCTTGAGCAGAAAAAGCTAAAGGACGGTGCCCAGGACCCAAGTTCAAGCTCAGCACTGCCCACCACCTCCAACAAAAGCTGCGGGTGTCTTCCTGCAGAACGGATCCGCTGGCTGGTGTCAGGCCCAGGGCCTCCAGGGCCTCACCTGTCGCAGGAGCTCCAGCGACCCCTCAGCGTCCTGGCATCTGCGCTGCAGGCTGGCCAGCTGTTTCTCTAGCCGTTTCCCCTCTTCCGCCAGGCCCTGGCTGTGCCGCCTGCTTGCTCCCAGGGCCTGCCTCAGTGTGTCCAACTGCTCCTGGGTGAGAGAGAAGCAGGGAAACGTGGGGTGGGGGTGGGGGGACTGCCTAGATTGCCTGAAGACTTATATTGCAGAGGGGAGGCTATGGCCGAGGACTCTGTGCATCTTCAGTGGTTGGTGCTTGTAGTATGTCCTGAAGACGTGTGGGCTTCTGGGAGACCAGGCTGAGCCTCAGAGGACCCGGCCAGCAGGCGTGGTGGCCCGGCCTGGGCAGAGGCTGGGCTGTGCAGGGTCTCTGTGGTGGCCACCCTGGCTTCTGGTCCAGCTTCCACTGCCAGACACCCCTTCCCAGGGCTTCCTCTGCCCTCGCCATCCCCTGGGACAGCTGTCCTGCCCTGCCGCCCCGCCGCCCCGCCGCCCCGCTGCGGACCTGCCACTGGTCTGGGGTGACACCGGCACACTCCAAGGTGGCCCGGGCCCTGGGAGCCCAGGATCACCACGACTTCTGTCCGCATGCCCTGTACCCACTCCCCGCCATGCCTCCCAGGCAGCCTGCTCTGCCACCCTGTCTGCCTGGGCGCCCGGGTGGTCCCTCGGCTTCCCCGACATGCTCATGCTGCCTGACATGGTGGCTGGCAGGATGGTTCAACCAGACATTCTGCTGCCTCCCTCCCGGCCTCTCGTGGCCTCAGGATGGGAACCGAGCAGCCAGCTCACCACGCTGTGCTTCCTGTGGGGGCCAGCTCTCAGGACGGCCATTTGCCGGCCGCTGCCTGGCAGGCCTCCGTCCACTGTGCCGGCCTCTTCCCCACTCCCCCCCCATGTCCGCTGTGTCTCCGGCACCCTGAAGTGGATGGGGAGGCCCTGAGGGTCCCTGTGGACCAATCTATTGCTGTGCTCGGATTTGGCTCCTGGTCACTTACAGAAGGGACCGGTTCCTTCTGGGGACCGGGGAGTGCTGGACAGTGGTGGGAGGTGGTTGTGTCACAGTAGCTCTCTACAGGAGAGCACAGCTGGACTTGGGTGAGAAGGCAAAATGCAACATGGAAATCAGGAATAGGTCGGAGGGGCTGGCAGGGGCGCTAGCCTGGGGACGCCCAGGAGACCGAGGGCCTCTGCTCCATCTATCAAGTTACAGGTGGTCAGAGCACGTGCAGGGGAAGGTCCAGAGCCCTGGGGACCACGGGGCCTGGTGCAGACCCTCCTGGTGAGGGCAGAGGACCCAGCCACTCAGGGAGGACGCGGGAGCGCCAGAAATCCAGAGTGGGTTTGGGTCTCTGTGAGTGTGCTCACAACGCACACAACCCACAAAGCACTTTCTAGACAGAACTCAGCAGGGGGCTGTGGCCTTCATGAGCATGTCCTGGGGAAGGACAGCAGTGTGGTGGGAAGGAGCCTAGGAGAGGGTGAACAGACGGGAGGGAGGGGGAGAAGGAGGGGCTCCCTTAGGAAGGGAGGGGACAAGTTGGAGAGGGAAAGCGTGATGCATAGGGTCCCCAAGTCCAAGCTCCAGAGCCTCCAAGCCCAAGCTCCAGAACCCCAAGTCCAAGCTCCAGGTCCCCAAGCCCAAGCTCCAGGTCCCCAAGTCCAAGTTCCAGGGCCCCAAGTCCAAGCTCCAGGTCCCCAAGTCCAAGCTCCAGGGCCCCAAATCCAAGCTCCAGGGACCCAGGTCTAAGCTCCAGAGCCCCAAGTCCAAGCTCCAGAGCCTCCAAGTCCAAGCTCCAGAGCCTCCAAGTCCAAGCTCCAGGGCCCCAAGTCCAAGCTCCAGGGCCCCAGGTCCAAGCTCCAGGGCCCCCAAGTCTAAGCTCCAGAGCCCCAAGTCCAAGCTCCAGAGCCCCAAGTCCAAGCTCCAGGACCCCAAGCCCAAGCTCCAGGGCCCCAAATCCAAGCTCCAGAGCCCCAAGTCCAAGCTCCAGAGCCCCAAATCCAAGCTCCAGGTCTCCAAGCCCAAGCTCCAGAGCCTCCAAGCCCAAGCTCCAGGGCCCCAAGCCCAAGCTCCAGGGCCCCAAGTCCAAGCTCCAGGTCTCCAAGCCCAAGCTCCAGAGCCTCCAAGCCCAAGCTCTAGGTCCCCAAGTCTAAGCTCCAGGTCCCCAAGTCCAAGCTCCAGGGCCCCAAATCCAAGCTCCAGGGCCCCAAATCCAAGCTCCAGGGCCCCAAGTCTAAGCTCCAGAGCCCCAAGTCCAAGCTCCAAGGCCCCCAAGTCCAAGCTCCAGGTCCCCAAGTCTAAGCTCCAGGTCCCCAAGTCCAAGCTCCAGAGCCCCAAGTCCAAGCTCCAGAGCCTCCAAGTCCAAGCTCCAGAGCCTCCAAGTCCAAGCTCCAGGTCCCCAAGTCCAAGCTCCAGGTCCCCAAGTCCAAGCTCCAGAGCCTCCAAGTTCAAGCTCCAGAGCCCCAAATCCAAGCTCCAGATCCCCAAGTCTAAGCTCCAGAGCCCCCAAGTCCAAGCTCCAGAGCCCCAAGTCCAAGCTCCAGAGCCTCCAAGTCCAAGCTCCAGAGCCCCCAAGTCCAAGCTCCAGAGCCCCAAGTCCAAGCTCCAGAGCCTCCAAGTCCAAGCTCCAGAGCCTCCAAGTCCAAGCTCCAGAGCCTCCAAGTCCAAGCTCCAGGTCCCCAAGTCCAAGCTCCAGGTCCCCAAGTCCAAGCTCCAGGTCCCCAAGTCCAAGCTCCAGAGCCTCCAAGTCCAAGCTCCAGGTCCCCAAGTCCAAGCTCCAAGGCCCCCAAGTCCAAGCTCCAGAGCCCCCAAGTCCAAGCTCCAGAGCCTCCAAGTTCAAGCTCCAGGTCCCCAAGTCCATGCTCCAGGTCTCCAAGCCCAAGCTCCAGAGCCCCCAAGTCCAAGCTCCAGGTACCCAAGTCCAAGCTCCAGGGCCCCAAGTCCAAGCTCCAGAGCCCCAAATCCAAGCTCCAGTGGCTCAAGCCTGTAATCCTAACTACTGAGAAGGCTACGATCTGAGGCTTGCTGGTTGAAGGTAGCCCCAGCAAGAAAATCCATGAGACTCATATCTTCAATTAGCCACCAAGAAGCTGGAAATAGAGTGATGGCTCAAGTGGTAGAGCACTAGCTTCGAGCAAAACAGCTAGGGACAACATCGACAAGGCCCTGAGCTGAAGCACCAAGACTGGTACAAAATAAGTAAGTAAATAAACAAATAAATAAAGTGAGAGATTCTTTGGAAAGACCAAAAGAGTTGCTGAACTGTAGACAAGGCAGAGGGAGAAAAACAAACCTGCAGTTTTAAGACACCTATGGGTGGTGCAGGACACACGTGTGCACGTGTGTGAGGAGGGAAGCGGTGCCATGCACACGGGCGTGCATGGAGGAGATGTGGGATGTGGTGCCATGCACACGGGTGTGCACGTGTGTGAGGAGGGATGCGGTACCATGCACATGGGTGTGCGCAGAGGAGATGAGGGATGTGGTGCCATGCACACAGGTGTGCACAGAGGAGATGAGGGATGTGGTGCCATGCACACGGGTGTGCACAGAGGAGATGCGGGATGTGGTGCCATGCACATGGGTGTGCGCAGAGGAGATGCGGGATGTGGTGCCATGCACACGGGTGTGCATGCAGGAAGTGCTGCCATGCACACGGGTGTGCACAGAGGAGATGAGGGATGTGGTGCCATGCACACAGGTGTGCACAGAGAAGATGCGGGGTGTGGTGCCATGCACACGGGTGTGCACGGAGGAGATGCGGGATGTGGTGCCATGCACACGGGTATGCACAGAGGAGATGCGGGATGTGGTGCCATGCACATGGGTGTGCATGCAGGAAGTGGGGATGTGGTGCCATGCACATGGGTGTGCACAGAGGAGGTGAGGGGTGTGGCGCCATGCACACGGGTGTGTACATTTGTGCTGAGGGATGTGGTGCCATGCACACGGGTGTGTACAGAGGAGATGCGGGATGTGGTGCCATGCACACGGGTGTGCATGGAGGAGATGCGGGATGTGGTGCCATGCACACGGGTGTGCACGGAGGAGATGAGGGATGTGGTGCCATGCACACGGGTATGCACGGAGGAGATGAGGGATGTGGTGCCATGCACACGGGTGTGCACAGAGGAGATGCGGGATGTGGTGCCATGCACACGGGTGTGCACGGAGGAGATGCGGGATGTGGTGCCATGCACACGGGTGTGCACGGAGGAGATGCGGGATGTGGTGCCATGCACATGGGTGTGCATGGAGGAGATGCGGGATGTGGTGCCATGCACACGGGTGTGCATGGAGGAGATGCGGGATGTGGTGCCATGCACACGGGTGTGCACGGAGGAGATGACGGGATGTGGTGCCATGCACATGGGTGTGCATGGAGGAGATGCGGGATGTGGTGCCATGCACACGGGTGTGCATGGAGGAGATGCGGGATGTGGTGCCATGCACACGGGTGTGCACGGAGGAGATGAGTGATGTGGTGCCATGCACACGGGTGTGCACAGAGGAGATGTGGGATGTGGTGCCATGCACACGGGTGTGTACGTTTGTGCTGAGGGATGTGGTGCCATGCACACGGGTGTGTACGTTTGTGCTGAGGGATGTGGTGCCATGCACACGGGTGTGCACAGGGGAGATGCGGGATGTGGTGTCTGGGGTCATGCACCAATCCTGGCCGTGGCTTCCACAGTACAAGATGTACACTTCACCCCCACAGGACAAACCGACCCGGAGGAGGAAGAGAGAACCCAGACCCGCCATGGAAAGGAGGGGGAGGGGAAGGTGGGTGGCGGGAGTGCAAACACGCATGCGTCTCTGAGGAAAAGCTCCTTCCTGCGCGGTTTTGACCACAGCGTGTCACAGGACACACTCCTAGCCCGGAGAGGTACAGAAAATATGGCGCTGAAGTGTCTGACAAGAGGGAGTCCCCAGCTCCGCCTGTGCTCCCTGGGCTGTGCTCCCCGGGCTGTGGGCAGCAGTGCCTGCAATGGCAGAGGCAGGAGACGGCTGCTGGGGAACGGCGGGCTGAACGGCAGCGTCTGGGGTGTGAGAAGCTGGTGGCGCTGGGTGTGGCAGGTGTGGGCTCCAGGAGGAGGAGGCCTGGACAGCCGTCCAAGGAACTGCCAGCCCCCCAGCCCCGGGGCCTGACCTGGCCCCAAGCCACGCATGTCAGGGGGTGTGAGCAGGGGCATGGGTGGGGGCTGGGTGGGGTGCAAGGAGGGGGCATGGGGTGCGAGGCTGACCTGAGGTTCCCAGGCTGCCCTGGCAACGGGCAGGGATTTGCTCTCAAACAAGCGTTGTACTGTTTGCATAGCAAACCTACCATTTAATTAGAAAAATACGCTTTTAATTAGCTTTCTCTTGACAAACACGTTGCTTATATGAATGGAGTTGGGGGCCGTCCTTGGATAAAATGTGGAGCTTGCTCTGAAGTGTGGCATAGCTGAAGGGACGCCAGGGGGGACCCCTCTCCCCCGGCCCAGCCGCTGCCCAGCCGTGAGGCGGGCAGCCCGGAGCAGGGCTGGCCCCAGCCCTAAGGCTGGCTGGAACCCGTGGGTCACAGGCGCAGGCCTGAGCCCACAAAATGGTGACATAGCCAAGAAGCCCTGCCCGTGGGCGGCCCTTTGCAGAGCTGCAGCCCCAGGACAGAGGGCAGAGGCCACCGCTAGCCCTGCCTCCCGCCTGGAGAAACAGTGCTTGCCAGAAAGCACCGCCACTCTGATCGGCCTTGGCGCCACTCTCCTTAAAAGCTGAAAGCCCTGTGTGGGGCATGGAAGGGCAGGGGCGGGGGAGACCTGAGCAGCAGCATGGCCTCTCACCCCACGGGGGCCAGGGAAAGACCCCCACATTGTGGGAGCTAGGCTTGAAGGGCGGTCCCAGAGTGGGGGGGCTCTGGCTCACGTCCCCACCAAGGTCACCGTGTGTAAGGGGCTGGGAGTCAGGGTATGGATCAGAGGGCACACCCCACCATGCCACCAAGGATCCAGACTCTGCCCTGGTGCCTGGGACAGGAGCTCTGGGAGGGAGGAAACACCCTGCCACCGCTGCCCACAGCCTCCACACTGCCCACGGCCCCCACGCTGCCCACGGCCCCCATGCTGCCCACGGCCCCTACGCTGCCCATGGCCCCCACGCTGCCCATGGCCCCCACGCTGCCCACGGCCCCCACGCTGCCCACGGCCCCCATGCTGCCCAAGCCCCTACGCTGCCCAAGCCCCTATGCTGCCCAAGCCCCTACGCTGCCCAAGCCCCTACGCTGCCCATGGCCCCTACGCTGCCCAAGCCCCCACGCTGCCCATGGCCCCACGCTGCCCAAGCCCCTATGCTGCCCAAGCCCCTACGCTGCCCAAGCCCCCACGCTGCCCATGGCCCCTACGCTGCCCACAGTCCCCATGCTGCCCATGGCCCCCACGCTGCCCATGGCCCCCACGCTGCCCACAGTCCCCATGCTGCCCACGGCTCCCATGCTGCCCACAGCCCCCCTGCTGCCCACGGCCCCCATGCTGCCCACGGCCCCCACATGGCACCACCGTGGGCCTCCCTCCTCCCTCCTTCCTTTCCTGAGGGCCTAGAGGGTTGGGGCAGGGCCCACCAAGCCCCGCCAGCTCTCCCCTCCCCCCCGACTTTGAATAAATCCAGGGCCTTACAGACACACCCAGGAAGCCTCAGGAAAGAGGTCGGGACCAGATATGATGCTCTAAGTAAATGGCAACTGACCTTCTCAAGGTGAGATGACGGCCCACAGAGTGCCGGTCTGAGAACAATACTTGGCAGCCGTAGAGGGCACAGGCAAAGGTGAGCACAATGCTGACAAGCAGATTAGCAGAGCAGCAGAGAGACAGCTGTGGTTTAAGCAGTAGAGCCCCTGCCTGGCAAACTCTCCGCATGGCTGAGAGAGATGGGGCGGAATGGGCGGAGGAGAGGGAGGAAAGGGAGGAAAGGAGGCAGGAAGGAGGTGGAAGAGCAGACCTTCCTTGAAGCACAAAGCAATTGGTGCAGTCCTGGGTCAGAAGAGAAGCCTCACCACATGGTCATAAAACCTGTTAGTGGATTAAGTTCCTCCAGGAAAAAAAAGCAAAGACCCTAAGGTAGATTAAAAACCAAAACCGGGCCAATAAAACAAAGGCTGGAAATAAAAAGGGCAGAAATGCAGAGGCTGAGAAGGGGCGCTGATGGGGCAGGGCAGGGGCCTGGAACTGGCTTCCACTGCGAAGAGCCCGGCAAAGCCCTCACAGGCCCGAGGCCTTTCTGTGCAGGCAGATGCGACCAAGACACCTCATTCTAAAAAGGGTGTACATGAGCTGCAGTCAGAGCCCCTTCCAAACTGGAGGCAGTGGACCAAAACATCCACAGTAGGAAAAGCCAACGTTTCACCCCAGCCTGGGTGGGTGTAGGAGACATATCCGTCCTGTAATGGTGACATAATGCACATGGAAAGCCTGATTTTAAAGGTCTATTTCAAGCTGTGTGACCTGCAAGCAATATGCTGCTTATCGTGGGGACACACGCGGGTGGAGGTGTGTGCGTGAGCCAGAACGCAGCCTGGCCCAGTCCCCACGGCTCAGACCCCTGCATTTCTTCCCCAGCCAGGTCACCAGGGCCCCTCACAGCCCTGTGGCCTCGCTGCGCTGGCTGCGGTGGCTGGGGGGTTGAACCTTTGCCCTTGCCTCTGGGTCAAGCCCGGACGGCCCCTTGCAGGCCTGGTCACTGCTCATAAGGAACTTGGGGACCATCCTTCCTTCAGCTCATTGGGGGCCCCTCCTTGGAGGGTTGCTCAGAGGGAGGCCGGCGGTAAGTCCCCCCCCCAGGCCCATATGGGGCGGCTGGCTCCCCCCCCCCCGCCCCGTCCATGGTCCTGTGCCTGTGCGGTCTCAGCGGCCACACAGTCCCTCTGGTCCTGCAGGGAAGGCCTCCCCGGGGCACTTCCTGGCACCACTCCCACCCTGGGGCTGTTCCTATTTCTGGAGAGAACAGGGAAAGAGGCCATGGCCAGGCCCGCTGCCTTCCCCGAGCTGCAGCAGGGGACTGCCCTCACTCCACACACCATGCACAGGACCCCAGCCCCACCGAAGCCCCCGCGGCTACAGCTCCGAGAAGCAGGAGAGGCAGGGGTGTGACTAGTCACTGGGGGATGGGCAGGGCCGGCCACACAGGGGCCCAGCAGCTGGGTGCAGCCTCCCCCTCCCCTCCTCCAGGGCTCCGCGCACACGGACCACCTCAGGACTGGCCGAAGACAGTGCAGCCAGGAATGGCCAGAGGCCATGCTCTGGTCACCCTCTGGCCTGCCTGCATGGATGTGCCCCTGCCCACAGGCCCCCCCTGCCCACACGTCCCCACAGGCGGCCCCCCTCCCCCACTCCCACCCCCTCCCCAACTCCCAACCCCCACCTCCCC